AACTGAGGTTGATGGTATTGTTTAAATATTTTGTTACTGTTGCATTCTTAGATCATTGGTGTGTAGTCTAATTTAACACATAAAGCCCTGTTTCCATATAATCGTCTCGATCGTCTGTCGTCTGAAAGCGTGCAGGAACGATATTGCACGCAAACGTTTTAATCGTCTATATAGAACAGAGTTCCATCTTGACGATTGTAATCGCTTTGATGGCCATGTTCGTTTCGATAGTCTTGAATATGTTTCCATAAAATCGCTCTAATCGTCCTTGTACGCTTTCAGAGGATTGAAGATCGAGACGATTATATGGAAACCGGGCTTAAACGAATGCGGCAATGACATTTTACAATATAAATAAAATGAACAAAAAAATGTGCTGCCTTTCGGGCATCTCACTATACACCATAACTCATAAAAACTTGAAAATTTCGGTTTAGTTCAAAATCCACGATACTAAATCATCAATAAATTTAACTCACCTCTGTATATTTCATACTGTGTTGTAAACATTTATCGCAATGTATTTACGGTTCTCGGTTTGCTTGAAATTGCATCTTTAGTGGTCACTTACATACAGTTTTTATTCTATATTTTCTCGCACTCATATGTATTTCCAAACACTCATAAACAAACGGGCAAATTCGATTGTACAATGATTGTACGCGCGGAATATGTCTGTCGGGGGGACTCGGGAGAAGGTTCAACGTAAATAGCGCAAACAATATTTTTTTATTTCAACCAATCATTCGCGCCATTGCTTCCCGCACTTGCGTAAAAAAATTGAGGTTTAAATTTAAATTCATCCCGCTGCACGAATATCAATTCGATTTCATGCGCCACTAAAGAGAAGGTTTATCTAAGGAGAAAGGTAAGTTATAACTTTTATGTAGATCGGGTTTATTTAATTAGAATAACAACAAGATGGATAGTTCTAATTGAAAGTACTTTGTATTTTACACATATAAATTTGAAGTTATTGCCACATGATAATAAACAAAATTATTTGTAGCCCAAACAGTATTGCTTTGAGTTCCAGACAATTAATGTGCGAATCTTTTTCGGCGAGTGACCATTCGCCTCCGGTGGACTGTTTGTTACTACTTGCGTCCCATCCCTTGGTAGATGCGTCTGTATACAATACGTGGTCAATCTTGCAGTGATTCAGATGTTTTTTCGACTCTTATGCATTATTAATCCACCAAGATACGTCCTCCAGCGCGGAAGGGGAGAGTTTCAATGTCGAATCAAAGTTACCATGTTCGACTTAAGAGCTGTTGTTTTGTCCCTATCAAGATCACGATAAAACAGTGGGCCATATTCAACGCCAGCGAAACAAGCTACTATCATATTAATTGACTTGTCACTTCCCGTATGCTAGGAGAGTCAGATTTTAGCACCCCCTTTGCAACCTCGCATAATTTGTTGTGTTTCTCTATGGATATAGAGATAGTCATATCTATAGAATTTAACACAAACCCTAAATGTTGTAAAATCTGTGTGGGTTCTGTAACAGATTTATCTTTATGGGGTAGGAATCCTAACTTCTGAAACAATTGTTGAATGTCATGTACGTTTTGCTCGCATTCTGAATAAGAGTAGCCCATTAAAAAAAAGTCATCAATGTAACCATAATAGAAATGTGCCAAGCTCCCTCAGCTAAGAATATACAGGCTTGAGTATCTTTGTAAATAAACGTGGAGCGGAAGATAATCCTTGAGCAAGGCATGTGAATTGGTACAGATTACCTTTCCTTGATGCTCTATGTGCATTGGTATTGAGTAAAAGGCATCTCTGAGGTCAAAGGATGCCATGTAGCCCCCCGGTCGCATGAGCTAATTACAAGTATGGATAGATTCTATTTTAAAGTGGCGATATGTTACAAATGTGTTGAGCTCTTTTAGGTTTAATATCATTGTAAAAGATCCATCTTTCTTTGCTCTAAGAAAGATATTGGAGATAAACTCGCCCTGTTCATGCATGCTTGCAAAAATGATACCTTTCTCTAGAAATTTTGTAACTTTACGATCGACATTTTGGACTTCCGAAGGAGACATTTTTATAGAGTGGAGTTGTTTCAGTTGGATTGGGTCTATAAGAAAATCAATCTTGTATCCGCTTACAGCTGATAAAATGAAAGGATCGTCAGTTAGCTCCCTCCACTTCCCAATACATTGTTGTATCCAGCTTGCCACTATACTACAATCATTGTCTCCCCCAGATATGATAGAAGTACTACACTCGCGTTTACTAGAACTTACATGGTCGAGAGTAGGATTCACAGCTCTTTTAGTGTTTTTGCTTTCACGTATTGCGTTTATATTATAATTTCTTTCGATACACAATCAAATTTTTGCACAAATGGAAGACAATGGAAAACGTCTTCCATTGTATAATAAGTTAATCAACGACCTTTATAGAGCCTCGGCTGTAATCGATACACCACCCTGGGCGCTTCACGCTGTATAACGGCCTTGGTTCCTTACTTACGTCCAGTAGCATACACGCCCATGACACGAGAAATATTAACTGGGCTTTAAACATACGGGGGGAATGGGAAAGAGGTTGTGGATATTTGGCAAAACTCTCATGGCAATTTTAAGAAACATCCAATTTGTTATATTTCATATAAACTCAATCTTATGTCTGTATATAAAATGCTAACGGCTAACCCATAATAAAATGAGCCAAAATTTGAAAGGAAGACGCTTCTCCTCGACACCCAAACATTCAAAGATGAGAAAATCAGATAGAAAATAAGGTATGGTGGTACAGTCAAAAACCCGTTCACGAATTTGTGCTCACTTCATTTACCGGAAGTAATCTCAACTGTTTTTTGGGTAAAATGACCATGACGAATAATATGACATAAGTGCCATTTCCTCAAACCGGTTTGAAAGTCCTGAAATCAGGACTAGCAATACAATTTTAATTAATTATAGACAGAATAAAAAAAATCACATGGTGTTTAGGATGCTTATCAAAAAATATAAATGTTACTTTTCCTTCAAGATTGAAGTGTTTTTGTGATACCTTTTAATTTCAATCTGTTTCAAACTTTGAACTTTACATGCACCGAACGCATTAAAGATAAAAGAAAATGAGATTAGTTTCTTCATTATCTTTTGTTTTAAATGTGTTCGGTTCATGTAAAATTCGACGTTTGAACTAGGCCTAAGTAACGTCAAACACTTTTAAGTTCTACGTACGTTCTTTTGTTGTTTTCTCAATACTTTCATCCCTAATTATAGCTCTTGTCAACATATCCGATTTATATTAATCATGATTACATATTACGCAATTAAGGCATTAGTATTAAAGTATCTGTTTGCTACAACTTTAATGTAAGAAAATTGATAAGATTCTACGTGTAAAAGATGTAATTGTAGCTGATGATCTCACCATGTGAACCATTCTTTATGTACATATATACATTATACGGGGTGTTCCCAAAAAGGAACAAATACAGGATGTATAAAAAAGCAGTAGTATAAAATTTAACTTATTATGAAAATTTAATTCCTGATCAACATGTCCCATTGATGCATTTTTCTGAACTAAATTCTAGGAGACTAATGATGTGCATGAAAGTCGTTTGATTTTGATTTGGAATGCGGCAAACCATTCAAATCAGCAAATCAACTTTCGAATTATGTCTATTTACAAAATTAATTGTATTGTTATATAGGTGCTGTGTATAGTAATTGCGATTGGTTTATTAGTAGTCACATGACTTAAAATAAATGCACGGTTTCCTGCCAGGAAAACAAGTGAAAAGGTGTTGCCTGCTCATTTTAATATCATAACGAATAAAAGAGCCACCAAGCCGAAAGCTAAAAAGCGTTTCTCGAGCTTATTAAGCGACGAAAATGAACTATTAATAAAAAAGAATTAAGAAAACAATGGGAAGTCTACCTAAAATGCTGTGGTCAATCATAGCATTTTGCAACGATATTTTGCCAAAAAAAATTAATTTTATTGAAGAGTTGTGGAAATTTATGATTTTTTCCCTATCTAACAAAACACTTAATGTACTTTCCTTAAAGTGCTTATTTCACAATTTTTTTTTTCGAATTTTCGTATTGCTTCTTCAAAAGTAATCTAAAACTTATATTACAATTTTTTCATGCGCTGCATTGTTTTCGAATTATTATTGATCAAATATGAAATTTGACAGTAAAAGTTGATAATTGGCATAGGGCCTGGATCAAGTCTCTGTGACGTAACTTAAGGAACAAGTCAAGCGCTTGTTATCAACAATTAGATGGCGGAGTTGAATTCTGATTCGGAAAGCTCTCATAGTTCGCAATGTGATTCGGAGTATGATTATATTCCCGGTTATGTCATCGAGGACGAAACAAGGAACATTAATGACCAGGAATATAATATAATAGATGGAAATCACGGCGAGTCCGAGTCCTATCTATACGCTGATGAACCAATGGCCGAACAAGCATGGTATGAAGACTACGTGGAAAAGTCAAATGAACATAAAAAGCAACTTGAAATGCTACAAAAAAGACTTGATCACACAGTTGAGTTGAGTTCTTGGTGAGTAATAAAATTTCTAATTTTAATTCAACTTATGAAATGTATTTCAATTCAGGTTTCAAGTTATGAAATATAGACATAAACGTGCAATTTTCTATTCAAGATTACCATCGCTTTTTTTATTTACTTTTGGGTAAAAAATTGTTAAAAGATGCTCGATTACAATTTTTTAATGTGATTTTCTTTATTGATCAGGTGCAAGTGTGGTTTTTGTCAAGTTACACTTCTTCAGAATCCTCTAGAGGCCTGGTGCTGCCAAGAACTTAAGTCTGTAGCTGAAAGCTTAACACACCAGTCGGTTCTGGCAGATCTGTCAACTATTCCATGTTGTGTCACTCTACACCCAGGTTTCAGACCAGTTTGTTTGGAGAAGTGGTCGCTAAAAAATGGCTGCTAGGAAATACAAAACCAGAGAACAAAGACGATACAGAGAAACAGGATCTGAAAACATGTATGATAGCATATTATGTTATTTCCCAGTATTTAAGTATATTTTAGTGTTATGACACATTAGTAATGATTTGGCTTTATATTCAGGTTTTTACGATGTGTTGCATACAGAGAATTTACATCTATGATTTATGGATGCTTAGGAGAAGAAAGAAGACCATTACCAGCATGTGCATACCATGCAATAAGATCAAAATTTAATGATAAAAAGTTGGAATTTAGAGAGTACGAAAAAAATGAAATAAATGAGTGATGTGAAAATTAAGTTTTCCTATTTTTTGGGCAATCTGCCACATGTTTGTGACCTTTCATTGGCTTCTTGCATGTCAAACATTTTGGCTGACTCTTTTCTTTTGAAACTGCCACTTTTGACTGACAGCTGAATGGCACACTGGTAGCTGCTGGCATGAAACAAAAACATTTTTATTATTTAAAATGATTTTCAAACCATGTTTAGCTACCACATCTTATATAATCATTATTAATTACCTGGAATTGAGGGAGGGACATCATTGACCACAAAGCATTTTCAACGGACCTGTTTTAGTAACACCTCAGCTCTGGGTTGCTTTTGCAGCATGACATTCATTGGTGGTGGGGACATTTCTTTCAAAAGATTTTGTGAATTTGATAATGCGTCTTTGTCTTTTATTGACAGCATCACACTCTGAAATAATTCATCCACATACTCTAAAAAGAAATTATTGTCGTATTCAATACTATGAAATGATGCAAAGCAACACATTTAGCAACAACTTACATTGTCATATTGGAAATTTTCGCCCACCTGCAATACATTCCAACATAGGAATAATGAATCATTTTTGGAGCAAAATGATTCAGGACAGAAAGGAATATTTCCAAACAACTTGTTTGAGCAACTGGTGAAGCCTGGTGAATTGACTTCATCAGCTGTGGGTTTAACAATTTAGCACTAAGCTTTTCATGAGCAACTGAACCTTAAACATTACAACAAAGAATGATGATAAACTGTTAGGGAAGTTATCTTTAAATAATGCCTTCACAAACTTTCTAACAAATATTCCCTTGGTTTAACATCAGGGCCATGAAAACAACTTGAAAACAGTGGATTATCCAAATTGGTGTGCTTGTCTACTATGTGACTCAGGAAAGATTTGAACTTTGCCCAAGTTTCCTTGCCATCACAATAATAAACAGCCGAATACTTAGTCGGTGTCCATTGAGCGCGTTTTCTTGCAACAAAATTCACCCAGATTTTACGTCTTCGCTTCGCTTCAGGACGCTCATCACCGTAAAATGGTATACGGTGAAGAGAAATTCTTTCCGCAGAATTTGCTCGGTTTGAACAGACGAAAACTGCACATCTATCAGGCATTTTGATGCAGAGCCGTAGTAAATAAAGTAGAAATTATAGCAAAAGTCACACTTCAGAAAAACTTCCTGTCCTTATGTTACGTCACATACTTCTCGATTCAGGCTCTCATCAAGCAAATTGGACGCGCAACAATTTTCTCCATTATTGCCGATTTTGAGAAAAGAAACGCATTTATCTCATAAACGAAGCCATCAATCAGAAAATTGTAAAATAGCTTTTACAATGATTTTTTTACCTCAATCAGAAAATTCAAAAAAAAAATTGTGAGATAAGCACTTTAAGGAAAAAGTGAGCCTAATTTCGCGAGAGTCTTAATATAGATTTGGTGTAGTGGACAAATGTGAAAATTATTTAAGACACTAAATATAGATCAACACATATATATTTTGTAACAATTTTGTAGAAAACATATTTATACAACGATTATTTCCTACATTAACATACTAATATGATAAAACTATGTTAATACGTGTTAAAAAACAAAGTTCAACAAAACACTGCGCAAAAAGAAAGTTTCTCACTAAATATTTTTTTACAAGTGCTAAATGAATGAATCCTTACCAATCTTTAAAATGGCAACTACAATTGTTCTGTTTTGATATAATGACGGTTACCAACAAATAATGTAGCTGAATGTGAGTGAAAGTTATTGTACAACTATTGAATGCTAATTTTAAAAATTGGTATTTTTAAATCGAGGTAAGACACCTCCTTTTCTAAAGCACCAGTAATCTTCACATGGAAGTTGGCAAATTACTATTACTCTAAAAAATAGTGTTGAGTTATGTAGGATTCATTTATTTAGCATTTAAAATTTAAAAAGCAAAAGAAAAATCTAGAAACGTAAAGAAAAAGTGAAGTAATGAAAAGTCTGCATACAGTCAAGCTACTCGTAAACGGACATCCTTGAGACCACGACCTAATGTCTGCTTACGTTAGATGTCTATTGATGGGATATTATAAAAGATATCTACTCACTATACATAGATAGGTACACAACAACATATAATACTTACGGTGAATGTCCGTTTAAGGGATGTTATTAAATATACGTAGATATGCACACAACAATATAAAATATTCATGGTACATGTCCGTTTATAAGTTTTATAAAAGATAAGTCTTCACTATACGTAGATATGTACATCACAAAATGAAATAAATTTAGTGATCTAAAATTGTTCACTACATAAAAAATAAAACTCAGTGGATTTAGAAATATGATATCTTCAAAAAGAAAGACGTTGAAATTTTTCCATATTTTTCATTCTCGTAACTTGATGTAGTTCTTACATGTTGAAGTTACTTTTGTTGTGAATGATTTGTTGACCATTTATATGAACTAAACTGATCACTTTCATTCTACAACTATCCATAGTTGATGTTTGCTTTGAATTTTCATGACATGTTGCTGTTAAGATCTTAATTCATATCACAAATGTTATAGTATCATTCAGTACACATATATTTCAGAGCATGCGCAAAGGCAATCGTGTGTCATAATATTCACAATGTCAGTGTGTTTCTATCGAGAAGCAGCTTCAATTATAGATGCAGCAAAAAAATCCCTTTAGCCATCTTCGATAGCCACAATGTAGTAAAATCAAATTCATTTTATTCACTCTCATGATTACTTATCCGTTATTTTCACATCAAAACGTCTACATGAGATGATGATTTTCACGCTTCAGTTTTGTAAAAAGTGAACAAAGTGAACAGCCAGTTTCAGCATTTTAAGAATGTAAAAGTTCATATCTTCCACTTTTGACAACAGATGACATTTCAATGAACACGTGACCTGGGTGTCGTTAGAAAATACAACAGTAAATCCACAGAAAACCAAGGTACATAAATTTGTCATTTCTTTCATTACGTCACCTCCTGAAATGAAGCTTCTCCTTCCTGTATTATCGTTTGACTTAAGAGTACACGATGGATTTTTATAGACAAGCCATAAACATATCAAACTTTGGCAAAGTAACTTGCAGTATGTCCACTGATGTTTGAGTTGATGTTGTTAAAAAACAATTTCCATAAGTATTGATTTTTAAAGTAGAACTGTTCAAACGTTAACAATCTCTGACATCGATATTTCATTAAAAGTAAAAACTTGTCATTAAACATCCTTCCATATACGACATTGTCCTTTGTTTTATGTCTCTCTATATTGCAAAACTTTTTTCACTTTTGTTAACTTTTCTGTTCATACGGCTTGGAGTAATCCATCTCAATGGTTAAATTGTTTATCACGATGATGAACGTCAATCATAAGTCATTTTCTTGTGGAGTTTACGATTTACTTTTTAACAGTCAGTGAGAAAGACAGCCAAATTTTTAGTTTTTTTTTGTAAAATTAGCAAAGGTACCATTGTTTTATTAGAAATTTTCTTTTTTCAAATTGATAAAGACGAAAATATTCATATAACCGAAATAACAATTGGGCTGTCTTTGTCTCTCTTAACAACTTAACACATAGATATTTTGTAAATCAAAATGCAATAAATGAAAAGTATTAAGAAATTATTTCAGTGTAAGATATTATTGATTTTATCAGTAAGAACTTGTTTTTGGTGTAAAAGAGTATCGAAAAACGTGCAATATTAAAGCCATCCTACACTGAATACATTTAAAATGAAAATTAAATGTTTTCATGGTGTAGATATAAACAAAATATGACCTATGGTACAATAATTAACAATAGCTTGCATTTTATATGTTTGTGTGATAAGATAAAAGTTAATAAAATTATTTTCTTGTGGCAGAAAAAAATTATTATCTTAGACACGAAATCATTTGTGTTTATGCTTTGCCTTTATTGTCATTGAATTTTCATCTTTAATTAATTTCAGCTTTTATACATGATCTCTCTTAATGTTGACATTATCGTACACTGCGGTCTCTGTACACAACAATTAAACTTAGACAAAGGTCGTTTCATGAAAACATACGCAAACAGACATTACTTGAAATGTCAACAATGAAAGGGATCATGCATAAAAAGTGAAAAAGATTTTCTTAAAGATAATATAGTCATTATCCAAAATGGTGAGAAATTTTATCATCAAAGATCAAATTTATTCTCGTGGCAAGATGATTTTTACGCATTGTACCGGCGGGAACTTTAAGGAAGAAAAAATTAAAGCAAGTTTGCGTTTACGACAGTAATAAAAAGTGCTCAACGATATCCTCACAAGGGGCAGACATAATTTTACAATCTTAAAATATTTTAAATCAATCAATTTGAATTCATTAGTAATTATATACCTATCATCAACAAAGAAAAACATTAGATCAGCAAAACCAAAAGTAGAACTATATATAATTTGCATGTTTTTAACGTCAAATACTTTTACATACACCCCCCCGCACATTACTGATAAATTATCTGATGAAGGTGAAAAAGCAGCGTAATATATAAAGTAAATACTATCAAGCAGGCACTCTCCACTTTTTTTGTCGGTGATTTCCTCCTTAATTACGTCATCCCAACCATTAACAAGTTTGTCTTCATGCCACATACAGTAAATTATCTGATCCTTAAATCCAACTTTAGCAAACACGTGATACTTAGAGCTACATGCAAATACGTGCACATTTTGATGATTTTCAAAATTCACTGATATTTCTTTTCGCTTGTTTTCAACATTGAAAAACACAAAAGAATCAGTTTTTTGACAAGCAAATGATTTATCACTCACCTCAAAAATTTTGGTTGTACCTTTTAGTTCATCGAAACTATAAACAAGTTTTGTCAAATCATTATTCCAAAGCTCAGGAATATTTTTTGCCGTAAGCAAAATAACTCCATTTTCTACAGCAACCATGTAACTAGCAAAACAATCCTTGACATCAAAGTGAAATGGGTTGAGATTGTATATAATAACCCTTGAATTATTTTTATTGCGCCGATACAGAAATTTTCCATTTGAGCATAATTTCTCGTTATTAAAACTGCAACTCTTAGTTAAACATGCACGCGGTATTGAATAAATATAACAGTCATCTCTGTATTTAAACAAAAGAACATTGTCGTTATACAAAATAAAGTAATAATTTCCTACTCTATCAAAGGAAAAGCTAGATCTGTTGTCATCGAAAGGATCGAGAGGATAAAACGAAGTTTGGGAATCAGGATCTAAGTAAGGAAGTTTCTCACCTGTGGGATTTACAATGAAATCGTTATCCGTAAGGGAAGAAAAGCCACAACACCAAGAATGAAGACCAACAGTAAACACAACACCATACTTACTAAATTCTCTAGACGGTAACTGACCGTCGTAAACGAATGCTTCATAATTATTCGCTACATCAAATATTTGAACAACTTTTTCTTTCTCAATAACACACAAATATCTTCCAGAATTAGAAAAACACAGTGAGGTCACATTATTACATCTAATACTGCGTCTCTTCTCACCTTTCTTAACGTCCCACACTGTTAAAGTATCTTTGTAACTAGTGACCATTGTGTACTTATCCTTAGAAAAACATTTGTTAGTAAAGAACTTAGAAGAAGATTCATCACAATGGAACGGACTGGAGGAAATTTTACCATTATTATCTAATATCTTATCAAGCTGGGAAGCAAAAATCAAATCATTGAATGGATGGAAGGCAACGCAAAATTTTCTCTCTTCATATTCCTTAAACTGACCAGCAATATTTTTTATCCATAAACATCTGTTTGTTCTTAATGAAAAAAGTTGCACGACGAATCCTTCATAACCACATACGACGTAATCAAGATTTCGTGAAACATCAACAGAAATCAAATTTCGATTTAAACGTAATAATCGAGACTTTACAAAACCCGTGTCTGTGTCCTCTAGATATGGTAAATCTTTGAAACGTGTTTGAAGCATTGTGGTGGCCTGAGAAGAATGATCTTTGACGTGGTTGGCAACGTATTGCAAAAAAAATACTTCATTGTCAAAGTGCATAGGGTACGTCATTACAGAATAAACTTCATTAAATAACAATCGAATGTCCTCAGAAATATGAAAGTACACATCATGTGCGATGAATAATTCAAAATTTTCAAAAGTCCGACGACCATCAACCAACACAGAAGCAACTAAAACTTCCAAGTCAACAAGATATTTACCAACATTTTTAACAATATAATCATTATCAGAAATATCAAGTAAATGAAGCAACCAATACTTGACTGAATACCTCACTGACGC